TGGGGGTGGGTCTCCAGATGGCTGAGTCAATCCTAGAAAAATCCCAGGGATTGTAACAGGTCACCCCACTGACCACCCAGCACAGAAGAGCAAAGCCCAGGCTACCTCTGTACCCCATCCTGCCTACTAGTAGCAAACCCAGTATGGAGAGAATCTGCTGCTGTGGGCCTTTTATACCCTGCACCTAAAGCCAGTTCACAGCTGCTCCAGGTAATGAACACCCTCCCCTAGACTGCAAGCAGCTGGGGCCCAATCACATCCACTACCCATCCCTGGAGCAGGGAAATGGGAGGACCAATGGGAATCAGCTCCACCTGTTGGTCAGTTCATCAGTTGTATTCTGGGAGATTCCTGTGAGGTTTCATTCAATTAAATCTGACACATTTTGTCGTGGATGTGAAACATCAGCTGTGCAGAGTCTGCAATGCTGATACTCAATTCCAAAGGGGATTTTTATTATGGAGCAGTGATCGCTGCATCATGGTTACGTTTGAAACCCACTCTCTGTTTAAATTCCTGGTCTCTGAATTTTGCCTCTTATCTGAACTTGGCATCGATAGTCAGATCAGCTCCCAAACTGGCATTCTAGTTCAGCGGCTGAGGTGCATTTTGGGATGCCAACTTGAGTTCATTTGACCAAAGGGTTTGCCAGCCACAGCTCTCCCAAGTGGCCTGCTTTTAAATTTTGAGTATGCTGTTTGAACAATCTGATCATGATATTTTTGCACAGCTAAGAAATGATCAGGGAGGGATCCCCGTGAAACGGAGATCGTTGGGCTACCCCTGCTGAAGGCTAATGTCCAGTCCAAAGAACAAGTCCCAAAACTTAGCCTATCCAAAATCATTCTGTTTTATTTCTGGTCCTGGGGAAGAGCCCAGGGGTTTTCTGTGAGCCATGCATGCTGTGCCTGTATGCACAGATAAACACAGGATTCCTCTTTCAACCAGGGGACAGGGCACTGGGCTAGGAACCATGACCCAGCTCCTCATAGGTAGTTATGCTCAATGGAAGTTAGGAACCTAAATACCTTGGAAGAACTGGGCCCAGGAGACTGTAAGTTCAAGATTTGTTGCTTCCAGCGATGGCTGTTCATATTTATGTGTATTTATACTTGACTAGCTTCCTCCGCATGCACTAGGGGAGACAGGTCTCATTCTCCCCTGTTTTATAGGTAACGTCACCAAGAGGCTGCACAATGGTCCTCTTGGGAAAGGTCACATTTATATCTAGGTCATTAATATGGCAGACCTGAGTGTCATCCACTGAGCCAGGCTGTCTATTGAAGCGAACATCCGAAGCATGTGGTTGGTTGTCCTGTCTGTAGCCACGGTTCTAACCACTAGAGAACACTTTCATTCCTGACACAAGCAGCCTGAATCTGCTGCTGTCTAACCAACCGTTGAACAGTCCACTTATACGGTGGATTAGCTGAATGGGCAGAGGGCCACGGGCTGGTTGTAAAGGGCCTGCGTTAAATTGGATGCCGATCATGGTTGGGCATTTTATGGTTCCACCTGATAGAAATTCTCTGTAGCCAGTTTAGTGAAGGACGCAGCTAAATTTCTCTTTAAAACCAAATTTTGCATTTTTTTTTCAAAATCACTTACTGGGAATTTAGATAGGTGGCCACTAATTCTGGCCCTTTGTCACCATGCCTCAGTTCCCCTGTGTGAGATGGGGATGATTACACGACCCCTCCCTAACTGCAGGTTTGGATAGATAAATGCAGTCATAGTGGAGGGATGTTAGGGGCAGGGAGCTGTCTAGAGTGGAACAAAGGGCTGGGTTGAAAGCTTAAGGAATGGTGGGAAGGTTAAAGTTGTCCTAGAGGCAGCTGAGCAGTCAGTATCTCTGCAGCACCAGGCGTGGGAAGGTTGGGAGAACAGAGGGACGGTCAGCGGCTAGAGCCAGCTCTGCTCTTTTGAGGGCAGTATGTGTGCAGAACCCTGCTGATGACCTTGAGGTGTGTTCTTGTGGTTGAAGCACTGGCTTTGGACTCCCCAGCTCAGGGTTCAACGTCTAGTTCTGCTGCCATATTCTTGGGTGACCATGACCATGTCACAGCCTCTCTATGCCTCAGTTTCCACAGGTGTAAAATAGGGATAAAATTCCTCCCTGCATCTTGTGTCATCACAGGTGCCGACTCCATGGGTGCTCTGGGGCTGGAGCACCCATGGGAAAAAAAATGGTGGGTGCTGAGCACCCACTGGCAACCCAGTGCCTCCTGCCTTCCAGGGGGCCTTGCCCATCAGCACCTCCCGCTCCCTGTGCCTCCCACCCACCACGAACAGTTCTTGCCTCTGTGCTCCCAGCCAGGAGGGCAGGTACCTGGGGCTTCTTGCTTCCAGCAGAGAGATCCACAGCTGGAGTCTAGCTGGCTGCTGTACTCCTGGCAGGGACTCTGGGGGGCAGTAGGGCTCCCAGTGGGGAGCCCAGGTAGCAGCCCAAGCCAGAATAGCAGCCAGACTGGGGAATTGGCTTTCTTGTTAATTACATGGCTCCCCTGGAGCCACAAAATTGACAAGAACAGCTGATGTATGGAACAGTATCTACCCAGACACTCCATCATCCTAACTACATGGAGAGAAGTGCTACACCACTCCCTGCGATGGTTTTATGATGTTGCCATTGCAGGGAAGTTACTTTTCAGCACAAGTGTTCACTGTAGACAAGGTCATAGTTTTCCCCACAGCAGCACAGCCCTATGAAGATGTTTAGGAGGCTCATGGGATTATTTCCTATTCCACATCTTGTCAGATAGGAACATGCATTTTAGCTGCTGGCATCCTCCACCCTAGCATTACTGGTGCCCTCAGTGGTCCTGCTCTCTATGCACCCCTCCCCCCCCAGGCCTGCTCTGTCCCCTGCATTTGCAGTTTTCCTTCCAAGGGAGTTTTTACTGTACCATGTTTCAGAGTAGCAGCTGTGTTAGTCTGTATTTGCAAAAGGAAAATGGGTACTAGTGGCACCTTAGAGACTAGCTAATTTGAGCATAAGCTTTCGTGAGCTACAGTTCACTTCCTCGGATGCATTCGATGCTTAAATAAACTGGTTAGTCTCTAAAGGTGCCACTAGTACGTCTTTTCTTTTTACTGTACCAGGACTTTTCTAGAGCAAGGCAGGTTGGATGTAGGATGCTGGCTACAGAGGTCATCAGAGCACAGCTGCAGCGTCCCTTCCCCACACTGTATGGGGTGTCATGCAGCAGAGTTTTCTGACCAAGATAGTGCAGGAAGTTGTTTAAGTGATGTTGGCTGGGCCACTGTATAAATAAGCCAAGCCCTACTGAAGCACCGCAGGGCCAGGACTATGACTTATGCCTGGCCAGAACTGCTCAATGCTGCCTTTCTTCAGACCCAAAAATAACGTGACTAGATAACTAGCGAAGTTCCACTTTATTGTCTAGGGTAAGTAAAGAATACATGGGAGATTGAATTCATTCAAATTAGTCAAACAGGGTCTGAGGTCACTCAGCCCAGAGCCACAGGTGATATTTGTCCACTCAGGGAGGACAGGAGAGGTCCTGGCCACCTGAAGAGCTAACAGTGTTCCTCTTTAAAAAAGGAGGAGCTGGGGAACCATACAGACCAGTCAGCCTGACCTTGATACCTGGGACGCTACTAGGCCAATGTATAAAACATTCCATTTGCATGTAGCTAGAGGATGAAGGGGTAAGACTAGCAGCCAGCATGGATTTACCAAGAACAAAATCACAAACCAACTGGATTTCCTTCTTTGACAAGGTAACTGGTTGGACGGAGGAGGGAAATGCAGTGGATAAAAATATACCTGGACTTAAGCAAATGTCACTAACGTTTAAGATGCTATACTTAGGGAAGACAAACCAAATGCACAAATACAGAGTGGGGGAATAACTGGCTTGTCAGCAGCACTGCTGAGAAGAACTGGGGAGTGTGGTGGATCACAACCACATCAGGAGTCAACCAGGCAATACTGTCCTCTCCCCTCCAAGAAAAACCCCATGCAATTTTAGGTTGCATAAACAGATAATATGCAAGTACCACTACTTACAGCTGGCTAGGCCTAAGCTGGAATACTATGTCCAATTTTGGACAGAGCAGCATAGAAAGGATGTGGAGAAACTGAAAAGGATCCAGAGGCAAGAAAAAAAAGTCAAAGGGATAGAATATAAGCCATTGAGCAAAGGCTGAAGGAACTGGGTATGTTTTGTTTGGAAAAGAGGAGATTAAGGGGGGGGAAATATGACAGTAGTCTTCAAATACTTGAAAGGCTGCCATAAAAAAGGCTGGATAAAAATTATTCTCTTGTGCCAGAGGGCAGGAGAAGAGGCAATGGGTTCAAATTACAGCAAAGTAGAATTAAATCTCAAAAAAATTCTTAACAGAACGACAATGGAACAGACTGGGGAAGTCATGGAAACTTTCAGAGGTTTTCAAAAGAGGCTGGATAGCTATCCACAGGCTCCAACTCTGGGTGATCCAGCCCTGGAGCACCCATTGGAGGGAGAGAGGGGAGAAGAGTGAGCACCCACCAGCAGGCCCCTGATCAACTCTTGCCTCTCCCTCCAGCACCTCCTGCCTACCAATGGGCACCGCTGGTCAGCTCCTCCCCTTCTAGTGCCTCCCACCTGCTGTGGTCAGCTGTTCAGCAGCATGCAGGAGGTGCTGGGGAGCAGTGAGGGTGGGGCATGGAGGAGTGGAGCAGGGGTCAAGCACCCACCAGCAATTCAGAAAGCCAGCACCTCTGTAGCCATCTGTCTTGGCTGGAAAAGCACTGGTCTAAACCATCCTTCTCATTTGCAGACCCTTAAATTTTTAATGGAGGTGTGGATCCCTTTGGGGATCTGTCTGCAGACCCCCAGGGGTCCATGGACTATAGTTTTCAAACTCCTGCACCTTAGGAGCACCTAAGTGCATGGAGCAGCTTGTCTCTTTTCCCCCTTGCCCACAGAACAGAAGACCCCTCCCGCACCCATTAGGAAATCAGCACTGACCAGATGAGACATTTTGTAGTTTTATTTTATGTTAGACAGAAGGTGCCAGTCACACAGTTCCAGCAGTGGTACAGCTGTGGTTTTTGTATATGAAGCAAATGGCAAGAACCATGGAGGCTAAAGCTATGGCAGCTGCCACCAAGGTCAGTCCCAGCTCCAGCCCAGGATTCTCCTCTGCACCTACAGGAAGAGGTCAGTGGTTAGAACTGGAATTGGAGCTTGTTGGTGCAGACACCCCACCACAGATTAGGAAGTGGTAAGTTCTTGTTTGTGCTGTTCAGCTATTGCTCAGCTTTGTGGACCTGATCCTTCATATTGATTTTGTTGACTAGTGTTTTAGTCAAGACCAGCTGGAGTCAACTGGAATCTGGATTCTAGAGTTGCGGGTTTTAGGACACCTTTTGGTGCAACTAATCAGCTGAGCTGCAGGGGGGCATTGCTGCTAGTCTAGAGATTTCTCTGCAGTGTCTAAGAGGGCATGCCCCTGGATTTAGTTTGCTCTTTTGCTTTCCAGCTGCTGCCCACAGGCTGGATAGCACTAGATTTGTCCTTGAAAGGTCCATTATTCAAGGTTCTCTTGAGGTGGAAAGCATCCCCCAAAAGATTCATAACATATGCTCCCAGGGTACACGGCTGGTTCTTATAACCTAGATGATACCTGGTGCTGCCACCTTCCTGGTTTCCATTTGATCTTCTACAACATCCCTGGATTCTTGGTAGGCATCAAGGATGAATAGGGGTCCAACCACAACATCAGCCTCTCCTACCCTCACTGAGGAGTCACCTGTATTGACAAGAGGAATTACCAGAGAATTCATCGACATTACTGCTCTTTTCCTCCTAAAAAGAGGATGACAACCAAACAGTGGGTTTGGCTAAGAGAAACATTTGGGCTCAGCTCCCTATTAGCTATGTAGGATATACAGCCTACCATGTCTGGAGGCCACATCTCTCTGGAAGCGCCTCCTTGGCCATCTGTCCAGAGGGCTGCCTCTCCCAGACTGTCCAAGCAATGCACAGTTCCCAGTCTCACAGCACCTGCAGATGTCTCTGGTGCCTTCCACTGGAGCCCAGCTGGAACAGAAGGAGAAGGGGCAGGGTCACTTACAGTAAGACTTGTCCTCTCCAGGCTGCTGATCCCACCAGCCCCCAAACCACCTCCATGGGGTTCTACTCCAGCTACTCACATGTTGCCTGCTTTGTTGAAGGAACAGGCCTTGTTCAAGGGATCTGGGGCTTGCTCAGCTGCAGTGACTTTCAGATGACAGGTGATGTAGATCTGGAAGGGAAGTGGGAAGAGGGGTTAGGACCATCCTAGGGGACACTCACTAACACCAGTTTAGCCTGGGGAAAGCAACTTGGAGCAGAAATGTGGGCGCTCACCAAGTTCCTGGCATCTCCTGCAAACCTGAACACATCCACCATGAACTGCAGCATGTCCTGCCTGGGCCTGGGGGATATGAAGGCCGAGGTGGTGTCATCTGATCTCCCATCCACCAGGCATCTACACACAAGAACTCTCGTTAGTAAGATCCCACAGACTTGAGGTAGATTCCAAACTAGAAAGGGTTGCCACCTCTTACCCATTGAAGTCAATGACAGCATAGCGGGGAGAGGAGTCCCTGTCTGGGCTCAGGGTGGCCACACAGCTGTCCACAAAGAGCCTCAGAGCCACATGGTTCCCAGTGCTGACATCAGCTTGGATATGCATGACTTCCCCCAGCTGGAATCCATTGGAGGGTCTCTCAGCACTCCAGTCATCTGGAAGGCAAGTTCACAGTGAGCAGGACAGACAGGCAGGGCTGGGCTCCCCTGAAGGGACCTCCCACCTACCATTCATCAGGTGCAGGGAGAAATCCAGCCTCTCCTCAGCAGACAGGGTGGAGCTGAAAGGAACCCATGTTGGCTTGATGGCTTTACTGCTCACATTGTCCTTCCTGGGAGGAGGAGCAAACCTCAGTCACTGAGCCAGATTCCAGAAGGGGAGGGAGGGGATCTGAGCATCTCAGACTCTCACCTGGGGTAGTGACACTCAATGGGAATCACAGCTGGATTGGTTCTCAGGATCACTGGGTTGCTGGCAGGGGTGGGGTTATAGTTCAGGCTTGTGCTGTAAACCAGGGAGTCTGGGGTCATCTGGGAAGGAGCAGACATAGAAGGGTTAACAGCACACAACTGACATAGAAAACTACAGTACTAGGTTCAGCAAGACCTAGAGAGATTTTTTTCCTATTAACAGGATGTCTTTCAGCACATGCCCAACTCATGCAATAACCATTGCTGGAAGGTAACAGAATCATTAGAGCTTTTTGAGCTCACTCCCCCAGAATGGCTGCCTGGGGACTCCTGATGGGCACTGTCGGGCCTAATTCTGCACAGCTGTGGTCACCACAGCTACTGCTTCTAGCAGTGTTCAACCATCATGTAGGATATGCTGTTTTCCCTTACAGGAAGGAAGCATTCTGGAAGACAGTCAACATCTAGCATCCTTTGGCCACTCCAGTTCTGCTGTCTGTCATCTCTCTCTGGGAGGAGTGCAGCTGTTGTGGCTTCTTGAAATAGGGACTCTTAGTGGAGGAGATTATTGCAAGGGCATGACTCAGCTCACTGTTCTCTCAGTGGAGAGGACGTTACTCAAAGGGGAAGCTCTGACAGCTAGTAGCTGCCGCTGAGCACTGCAAGCGGGGGAAACCAGTAACAGAAGCTATGGACTCAAGTCATTAAGCATCCTAGATGTTAATATCAGACTGGCATAGAGTCACCCATCACCCACACTACTGTGCATTACAGAAAGTTAGCTGGGGCCTGCATGATGAGGGGGATCAGGATACTTATCTGAACCATTGGAGTTCCAGGCTTCTATGAAGCTGCCTTACCTGCAAGGTGCTGCCACATTCATGGAGCCCAGCTATAAAAGTCACGGTGTTCTCCACAGCATTAAGGGACGTGTACTGGCAGGCAGCCAGGCCAAGACTCAGGTCAGCAGCTTTGATCAGTCTCCCTGTCCCAAACAGATCCCTGTGCACAGTGATCACCATCTGAGCCTCCTCACACTGCACCATGACAGGCTGCAGCACGGACACAGCCCTGAGCTGGGAAGTATCAACCTGAGCCCAGGGGTAGGGCTGGGCAAGAGAGGACACATGGGTTTCTCTGCGAGGGGGCTCAGCCCTGGGGGTGGGTCTCCAGATGGCTGAGTCACTCCTAGAGAAATCCCAGGGATTGTAACAGGTCACCCCACTGACCACCCAGCACAGGAGAACAAAGCCCAGATTGCTTCTGTACCCCATTCTGCCTCCTACAGCAAACCCAGCATGAAGAGAAACTGCTGCTCTGGGCCCTTTATACCCTGACCTAAAGCCAGCTCACAGCTGCCTCAGGTAATTAATTCCCCAGACTCACCCTGGGAGCAGGGAAATAATGAATGGGAATTAATGCCAACTGGGAGTTGTTATCATTTGTGTTTTAGGAAACCGCCTACGTGGTTTCAGCCAATTAATAGCTAACAGACTTTGATGCTGATGGGAACTATCAGTTATGTAGCGTGTGATACTGATGACGGATTCCAGATGGAATTTTTGTATGTTATGAATCTTGTGCTGTGAGTGGGAAGCATTTAGTCCAACTGATTTGCTGATGAAATAGCTTAAATCACAGTCTTAAAGATTTATTAGCTTTAGTCTTCACCTCGTGCTCATAAAAGACAGTGCAACTGAGCAAATATGACTCTGTGCTGTTTGGAAAGCTGCCTCAGGGTGAGAAATGCTCCTTACTGCATAGACACCACAAATGGCCCAGGACAGGAATAGCGAGGAAGTGATGCACATCAGATCTGCGGAGCCCTGGTGAAGCTGAGATGGAGCCCCACAACTGAAACAAGAGCAGCTCAGGAAGGAAGTGTTTTGGCAGATCCCTGAGGAATCCAGGAGCGGGATCTCAAGGACGTCTTGCTGGGAACAGCGGTTGTGCGTCGTCTGGGAAGCACTGGCAATCAAAATGCCTCTGAATGCACTGTGCGCTCATGTGAGCATTCGTAAATTAGGACTTGGATGGGCAGATGGATCAAGGAACATCAGCAAAAAAAAACAAACCAACCCAGACTGTTTAGGAGAGTGCTGTGTTCCTGGAAGCAGCCTATCTCATAATGCTCCTTGGCCCACACATCCTCAGAGGAATCCTAAATCACTTTGAGGACCTGGGCCTGAAATTTTCCAGAGTAAGTGAGACGCATGAGGCATGGAACCCGGAGCTCAGTGCCTGCAAGCCAGAGCAGCCCAGGCCCAGCACTCCACCCAGCTCCCTGCCTGCCAGACAGTGGAGTTTCCTTTAACAGCAGGATTTCTCCTTTCTGTCCGTCTCTCTCACATCCTCCCGAGCAAATAGGATGTGCCTTGGGGCATGAGGCAGATAACGGAACCAAAACAGCCATTGTAGCGAGTCCAGTGTTGCAGCTGGGTGTGGAGAAGTGCCCCACCCGTCACCCCTCCCTGTTGGGTGGTGAGATACCCCATGTTCTCCATTGGATGGGAGACAGTTTGACATCCCTGTTGGTTGGTCTGACCCTAGTCCGCCATACCCCATACTTGGTCCATCCTCTCTGGGCTCAGGCATTATCCTGGTGCTCATTTCTTGGGGGCATAGCTGTGCCCCACCCATGAGGTCCTGAAGTGTGGAGATCAAACTCAGGGCTCTCATTCAGCAGTAAAGACAAGGGCACGGACTCTTGAAGGTATCTGGACATCTACCTCCCAGCTAGATGCCTAAATACCTTTGAGGATCTGGGCACAGAGCAGGATCTGGGCCTACTTCTCCTCTGCCTGGCACCTTGTCAGAACAGTAGCATTTTCCACCCACTTGGCATGGGCATAAGCGACTACACAAGGGGACAGTCAGGCCCTGATTCTTGTTGCCTGATTCTAATCCTGAGATTCCCCTGTGTGTAGCATAAAGAGTTTTTAAAGGGGAAGGCAATGACCCCCTGACAATACCTGCCATAGAGGGGGCATCCCTGGCTGCTACAGAGCTGGGGTAATGGCTGTACGCTAGCCCTGCTCCCGGTCCCAACGACAGGGGCCATCCTGGTGGCAGGAAAGGGTAAGCCAAGGGTAGGGAGGGGGTATGGCTGAACTGTACCCTGCTATGGCTATTTTTCCGCTTGCTGGGGTCCCAGGAAATACAGTGTAACTTAGCACAGGCTGCTCAGACTTTCATCAGCGCCTGGCCAGCCCCCAAATACGGCAGGCCAGCTGTGGCTGAAAGCCAACTTTGCCTTCCCCTCTGTTTCTGGCCCAAGTGGAGCTGCGAATCAGGACCTTGGCCTCTTGTGTAGTAATGACAAGAGCCTGCTGCCCCTGCAGTGCTGATGTATTGCCAAAGTACAGAAAAGGGGCACCCATGAACCTTTCCTCCATTAGCCTGGACTTCCCCCAACCTACTGACTGCTATTCCTACCTACATGCCTCCAGCTTTCACCCTGACCACACCACACGATCCATCGTCTACAGCCAAGCTCTGCGATACAACCGCATTTGCTCCAACCCCTCAGACAGAGACAAACACCTACAAGATCTCTATCAAGCATTCTTACAACTACAATACCCACCTGCGGAAGTGAAGAAACAGATTGATAGAGCCAGAAGAGTTCCCAGAAGTCACCTACTACAGGACAGGCCTAACAAAGAAAATAACAGAACGCCACTAGCCGTGACCTTCAGCCCCCAACTAAAACCCCTCCAACGCATTATTAAGGATCTACAACCTATGCTGAAGGATGACCCAACACTCTCACAAATCTTGGGAGACAGGCCAGTCCTTGCCTACAGACAGCCCCCCAACCTGAAGCAAATACTCACCAACAACCACATACCACACAACAGAACCACTAACCCAGGAACCTATCCTTGCAACAAAGCCCGTTGCCAACTGTGCACACATATCTATTCAGGGGACACCATCACAGGGCCTAATCACATCAGCCACACTATCAGAGGCTCGTTCACCTGCACATCCACCAATGTGATATATGCCATCATGTGCCAGCAATGCCCCTCTGCCATGTACATTGGTCAAACTGGACAGTCTCTACGTAAAAGAATAAATGGACACAAATCAGATGTCAAGAATTATAACATTCATAAACCAGTCGGAGAACACTTCAATCTCTCTGGTCACGCAATTACAGACATGAAGGTCGCTATCTTAAAACAAAAAAACTTCAAATCCAGACTCCAGCGAGAAACTGCTGAATTGGAATTCATTTGCAAATTGGATACTATTAATTTAGGCTTAAATAGAGACTGGGAGTGGCTAAGTCATTATGCAAGGTAGCCTATTTCCCCTTGTTTTTTCCTCCCCCCCCCGACGTTCTGGTTAAACTTGGATTTATGCTGGAAATGGCCCACCTTGATTATCATACACATTGTAAGGAGAGTGGTCAGTTTGGATGAGCTATTGCCAGCAGGAGAGTGAGTTTGTGTGTGTATGGGGGTGGGGGGATGTGAGAAAACCTGGATTTGTGCTGGAAATGGTCCACCTTGATTATCATGCACATTGTAGGGAGAGTGGTCACTTTGGATAAACTATTACCAGCAGGAGAGTGAGTTTGTGTGTGTGTTTTGGGGGGGGGTGTGAGAAAATCTGGATTTGTGCTGGAAATGGCCCACCTTGATTTTCATACACATTGTAAGGAGAGTGGTCACTTTGGATAAGCTATTACCAGCAGGAGAGTGAGTTTGTGTATGTGGTTTTTGGAAAAAAGGGGGGGGTGAGAAAACCTGGATTTGTGCTGGAAATGGCCCACCTTGATTATCATACACATTGTAAAGAGAGTGGTCACTTTGGATGGGCTATTACCAGCAGGAGAGTGAGTTTGGGGGGGGGGGGGGGGCGGACGGTGAGAAAACCTGGATTTGTGCTGGAAATGGCCCAACTTGATTATCATACACATTGTAAGGAGAGTGATCACTTTAGATAAGCTATTACCAGCAGGAGAGTGGGGTGGGAGGAGGTATTGTTTCATGGTCTCTGTGTATATAATGTCTTCTGCAATTTCCACAGTATGCATCCGATGAAGTGAGCTGTAGCTCATGAAAGCTTATGCTCAAATAAATTGGTTAGTCTCTAAGGTGCCACAAGTACTCCTTTTCTTTTTGCGAATACAGATTAACACGGCTGTTACTCTGAAACCATTCATATTCTTGTTATTCATGACTATTTAAATAGTACCAGGATATACACGGGGCTCTGTAAGACTCAGAACAAGAGACAATTTCTGCTTTGAAGCCTTACAGAGAGCGGGGGCCAGATCCTCAGCTGGTGTCAATGGGCTGCTCACTTTAATAGAGCTATGTACATTGACACGAACCCAGGGTCTGGTCCATTGTCACAACCTGTCACCTGGCTTCGCTCTCCTCTCTCTTTTCAATCTCCCCAACAAGTTGTGTCCTGTTGGGGCTCATTCCAGTCTGTGATCCACTGCTCTCACCTGTTCTGGATGAGTGGGGATGGCCCAGAGCTTGCAGCTCAAACTGCCTTTCAATCCATCTATGAAGTGTTTGTTTGGGTTCTCATGCTATCATGCCAGGAAATCCACTGCAGAGCTTTACAGGAAGAGACTGGAATTGATGTGCTGATAACAAGGAGCACTGAACGGAGTCACAAAAGTCAAATCCCATCTGTAACACCCGTTCAAAAATAAAAAGGTTACAGGGCCCAGATCCAGTGGCCACTGTAACCAATTAAAAGACACCCATTGACGTCTATGGCTCTGGTATCTGGCTCTTAGAGAGGGATCTGATACAGAGGTGAACTTCCCAAGACGTCTGTTGTATTAATTTAGATGGAAAACATGGGCCTAAGGTGTTAACACAACCCAGTCACTATACAATCTGAAACAGCATTAAACAAGGTCTAGGGGTTGGTATCTAGAGACCTCTTAATCCCATGGCAAACACACCATTAAAGATCCTTTTAACCTTTCATTAAAGATACAGAAAAGAAGAGAAAACAGTCAAAGCATCTGAAATGTAAAGTGATGCTTTCTTTTGTCCAACATCCCTTGTTCTCTTTCCCTGGAGAGAGTTTTTAGAAGGAAAGCCAGTCTAACCCAGTCAAGGATCTCTTAACTCCAAACCATCCCATCCCAGTTTCTTTTGGGTCAGATTGAGACTGACCCAGGTGCCAGGGAAGTTCTGGCATCTAGCAGTCTCAGGATAGCCTCCGCTGGGCCTTCCCGTAGGCAGCCTGTGGTCCTAGCCAGGCCTTCTTTTAAGAGACAAGCAAAAAAGAGCCATCGCTCAGGTGGGTTTTTTCCTCTTTTAATGTCTCCCCCC